GGGGGGCGAAAATGTAGGGGGGGCGAAAATCCTGGGACACCGGGCCAAAACTTTTCAAGGACCCGTTATGATGTCATAATTGTAAAAGGGGAGCAGAGCTGGAAAAAGTGTTCAATGTTCCTCGGATCCTGAATTTGCTTTTTTCAAATGTTCCTCAATTATATTGGTTGTAAAATTGCAAAATAATTTAAATTCTATTAACAGGATATGAAGAACACTTCAGTCGCAATCACGAAAATAGACTCGAATGGCAGATAAATAAATATGATTCCTTAAAATTCTCCCTTAAAGTACGCGTGAAAAATTGAAAATGTTCCTCAATCTTGTTGCTAAGGCAAATGTTCCTCAGGATCCCGAGATCCCACTTTTTTCCAGGTCTCAGTGAAGGGCAGAAGCGTGTTTTACAATATATCACAATTTATTACATTTTTGTCTGACACTAACGCAGCTAGATTTACTGATATTTTTATATTCTCAGTAGCAATCTTGTATCTAGAAATTTTAAAGGCCTTCGTTGCTTTGGGGACCTCTTTTGATTTTGGGGCTCGGGGGCCTCTTTTGGTTTTGGGGCTCCCAACCCCTTTCGGTGGCCCTGATTATAAACTATTGCTTTGAACAGATTTATGCTGTACATATCGTGTAAATATTTTACAAGGAATCAAATTTCAAAAACCCAGTGGTTCCTAGTTGGCTCCTAGCCCTTTATGTTAGATTACTTTAAATCATAATGATTCTTATTAATATTGTAATTGACGAAATAAATGAATAATCGAAATGTCAAAAACTATTATGCTTGGCCATAATCTTGTTTTAATCCATGTCTTGCATTGCTCAACTAGATGTTTTATTCGGACTTCGTTTCGTTTGAAAAAATGCCGTATTACTAATGAGTATTACTCCCAATATAAGATGGGCTTCCACGCAGAGGGGCTTACATATGACGGGCGATATTGTATACGAAAATAATTTTGTGTTCGTATAAGTGTACTCTAAACTATACAGTGACATAACATTCCCATGTCAAATCAACGTAACATCATTGAAAGCATTTTTGTTTTTCAATTACTCAATTTTAACCTCTTGGCTTATTTACGGCGGGGGGAGGTGGAGGCTTATGTATTGCATGGACTGAGGGTGAGTGGAATATGCTGGGTTGGTGGACGTAGTTTAATTTGGGTATTGAGGACTTAAGTCTGGACTTGTATTGGGAGGTATACGGTAATACAACTCCCGTAATACAATTCTTATTTGAGCTTTTTTGAGACACAGATCAGTGGTTATGCAGCGGTTGGGTAGCTATGCAATTTTTAATGATTTGCATTATTCAAACCTTTAGAAATGTATTGTCTTTATTAGCATAGTATGTCTAGTATGAGCAGTTACCATGGCTAGCTCGCCACTGGTAGGATGTTGACGATGTAAGTTCGCATTAATGTGAACATAGTAGGATCACCATTCCTCCATGTAAATATACATTCTTAATTACATGGAAGACCGAATTTAACCAGGCGTTAATGTTAACCCGTATTATTTAATGTGCTAGACTCGTGCGCACTAATACACGGGTTAACATTAACGCCTGGTTGACCTTAACGAGTAAAATCATCTGACGTTAAAATAATAAAGTCAAATCATTTGGGCGCGTAGCAGCATAATGGAAATAAAATCCGAAAATGAGATCATCTTAAAAACCCAAAATATTTACCATAATGCTAGAGGAGGGAGTACTTTCTTTTCAGTTTCAGAGTATTAAATTTCCTGGAAATGAGCTACTCCAGTGACATATTGAGGTCATTAATCCCAGCCTGATCGCGGGCTAGAGCGAATTCTTCGAATTTCGCAATTTTCAAGGAATCCAAGACCAACACTTTCGCAGTTTCACTTTGTATTTGTAGCAAGATTTTATGCGATCATTTCGTTGGAAAGAAAACACAAATATGTTGTCTAAATTGTGAAGTAAGAAAGATTTAATTGAAATGGCCAGTGCTTCATTAGAAAGTGTTCCTGTTGATGAAATTAACGAACTACTCACATGTTGCATGTGTTTGGAAACTCTACAGGAACCAAGAAGCTTGGCTTGCTTTCATAATTTTTGTAAAGTCTGTTTAGGTGAGTATATTTTACTTTTTAAAAAAATCTACTTTGCACACACTTGCATGGGTACCACAGAATAGGAATTCATATATCCTTAATATCCTGTGATGGATAATGTATTGGCTGAATTCATAAATATTTACAAGGTTGGAAAGATTAATATTAATTTACTTGCAAACATAGTAGATTAATATTACTAGATAGGAATATATCCATTCCTGATATGAGTTGGACAAGTGATGTCTTTAATATATGCACAGTATACAACAAAGAGGATATATATACTTCATGTTAGACCACATAAAAAAATAGTTGGTTAGCGTCCTCGCCCACCCACAAAAAAGGCCCCCCTCAGTCCCCCCCTTATTGATCAACAGGCTCTAATATATGTAGTATTTCTGTCGGACTGTAGTCAATTGTTTTAATAAGTTTTGAAATTGCGTGCGAAAATGACGGTATGAATCATGTTTTGAAATACCGTAAACCTCCGACTATAAGCTTATATACTTTTGTAAGCGATTTTTGATGGGCTTATACAAGGAGGGCTTATATACGGGGGGGGGGGGGG